CCCCACCCCGCCACGCCCTAGCCACCGTCTCCTCTCCCCTTCTCTCCTCCCTTCGACCCAAAACAAAGAACGCTTGCCAACGGTGGCGCTGTACACTCCACTGCTCCTTCGCGGCGTTCGGCTCGGCGTGGCGGGCCGTGGAGCCTGTTTGCGTGGGGCTTATGAGCGGGCTTCGAGCTTAGCTGGGCGCTAACCAAACTTACTCATCATCTGAAAACACTTCGTTCTTCTCTACCACTCCCCCGCCCTCCGGTACCCCGCCCCGCTCGCCCTGTCGGTCTCTCGCGTGTCTCGCCACGCAGCCCGGCGAGCCTCCTCTGTGCGTTGGGCTGCCCGACGCCCAGGCGGCGCTCGTGGCCGCGCCGAGCCGCTCAGTCAGCTCAGGTGCGGATCCAAGGTCGCCATGCTGTGCCTACTCACGGGGCAGTGCCACGCCGACTACGTGCCGAGCATTTCGAATTTCCCGCGCGTGGAGGAGGCCGGCCCAGGGGAATGCCCGCGCGGTTGGCGGCGCTGGCCGCCATTCAGGTTGCTGCGCCTCCCTAGAGAGAGCGCCACAAGCCGGCAGTGGGTGGGGAGAGGGGCAGGGGGTCGATCAGCTGGGCGGGCCGGGCCGCGACCCGGCAAGGGAGGGAGGGCGAGGGCCGAGGGCCGTGCACAGAGTCCACAGTCGGTTAATAATGTAATGCCGACTCTCATATCGCTAATGAAACTGAATAAAAAATCTTAAGGTATTCGGTTACTTTGAGCAACCAGGCATCTCCCCACCCCCCTCCCTCCCTCCAGGAATTGATAGTTGTGGGTTTTGGATGAAGTGTCGCAGACGTTCTAAATGTTTTACATGGGGGCCGTCAAGAAGACTCTTCCTGTCGTCGCGGAAAAGTTCCAAATTCAAGCTTTCGCGCCAACGATGATGGCAGCGCTCCCAGTCGGGTGGCGTGGCGGCCAAAGGCAGGTTTAACCGCCGATCGGAAGATCGGCCAGTGGTGTCCGGTAGCGCTTGAGACCG